TGGTCAGGAAATATCTTGCTGCAAAAACTGATGTTAGCTACGTCTTTGGGGGAGGAGAGGGGATAAGCCATGCAGGCCTTGGTGGAGACTGGGGACCAGTCCTTGCACAGGGGTATTGAAGTAGTAGTAATGCCTGGCATGTTGGGGAATTAGGTCAGAGGATGAAGCAGGTAAGAGATGAGAAGACTATAGGGTTCCAGTGGCATAAGATCTTGTCAGTCATCAGTAAGAGTATTTTGCAGGTTACTCAGAGTGATGTGGGGTCCATGAGAGAGTTTTAACAAAAGAGTTTTGTGATCTGACTTAACATGAGTGTAAGGAGATGGAGGTGACAGGGGCTGGCCCTCTGGGGTGACCCTCATCTTAATCTCCCCTCCTTGTGCTGCAGTACTATAACCAAGAGTGGACACTGTGGGATCGCTTCGAGGTACAGGGGCTGCAGCCTAATGGTGAGGAGATGACCCTCAAACAGTTCCTAGACTACTTTAAGGTAAGGACCCTTACTCTTTTATCCTTCCTGGGGATGAGATGTGCAGGTGACTTGCTGGCCTGTCCATTCCCCTGACACTGTTGTCCCCCATCCCTCCCCTCCAGACAGAGCACAAATTAGAGATCACCATGCTGTCCCAGGGTGTGTCCATGCTCTATTCCTTCTTCATGCCAGCTGCCAAGCTCAAGGAACGGTTGGATCAGCCGTGAGTTGGCTGCTGGGTCAGCAGGGGAGGTCTTGTGTCTCTTGGGGATTCTCAACTCCCAGCTCTGCTGGGATACTTTACATCCCTTCACCTGCTCTGCCCCCACCTACCTCCCCTCTTCTCTTGCTTTCTGCTTTCCTGACCCTTTACCCTCACGCTCACCCCCAGGATGACAGAGATCGTAAGCCGTGTGTCGAAGCGAAAGCTGGGCCGCCATGTGCGGGCGCTGGTGCTTGAGCTGTGCTGCAACGACGAGAGCGGCGAGGACGTCGAAGTCCCCTATGTACGATACACCATCCGCTGACCTGCCTATACTCACCTAGGCTGGCCCCAGTCCCCCCTCCCCAGGTCCCTTCCATCCCTGGGTTCCCATTTGGCAGTGGCCCAACTGGCCAAGCCTGGTGTCTCCTCTTCACCCCCTACCTGAATCCCAGTTGCCACTGCTTTCTACCTTGTTTGGAACCTGACTCCTAATAAAAAGATATTAACCCAGAAGTGGCCTGCCCTGCTGGTTCCAGGGAAGGAGGGGCTTCCTGGAGCTATTTGGTTCTGATGGTGGCCAGCTGCCAAGTTCCTAACAGAGTAAATGTAAGAGTTGCCACCTCTTCTTGCTCTTTTCTCTTATGAAAATATGGAGGCACCAGTGAGGCCATAGAGAGTAGGTACCTGGGTCCATGTGAGTTTGATTGGAGGTGGGTTCAAATCCTACCTTCTCCAGTTTAACTGCAAAGAGGAAAGTTTGAGCAAGCAGGCTGCCAGGGCTTGGTCAGTGTTTTTTGTGTCCTTGGGGTAGATCCCTTCCCATCTGGCTCCAAGTACTCAGACACTGGGTAGGCCTTTACAAGATTCCTGGTGGTACCAGCAATGGCTTTGGTGCCTTTACTTCAGATCTCTGCTCCAGGGAGCCTGAATGGCCCTGCTGGCCTGAGGAATGTCACTGCCTTCAGACATACTGTGCAGTTTTTATGGAAGTATTTGAGAATGTCTAGAGAGGAAAAGCCTCTTTTCTGTCTCACCCTGCCCTCCTTGGCTCCACATCTGCCTGTATGCTTCTTGAGAGTGCTCAGGCTTCCTAATCTTCAAGGGGAGACCTGGCTATGGGAGCAGAGAAGTAATCATTGGTTAATGCAAGCAGGAGGAAGCTTGCCCTCACCCCCACTGGGACTGCAGACTATAGAGTTGCCATATTCTGGCTTTGGTCTTGGCTGAGCGCTCCAGACAGTTGAAGACACCAATCTGGCTGGCCACTATCACATAGGTGTCTTCCTCCATTGGTACTAGTGCCTGGTTCCTAAGGATACCACTCATAAATCTGTTCCTTTCCTTCAGGAACCAGTTTCTCTGCCCTCCTTAGAAACAAGACCCCTCATTTCTCCACTTAACTGAGTGTTGGGAATATCTCAATACATTCCTGAACCTGGCTAGGTTCCCATCACAGCCTGTCCCCACACCTGATGCCTCCTGGGCCAGCTCCTAGCCCCCAGGCACAGTATATGCCATTGACCACCTCCCTCTCATGACCATTTTTTTCCCCTTTTGTCTGCTGTGCTTGGGTGACCTCATCCTTCCATAGTTCCCATTTAGTCCTCACCAGGACACTGGGGCTAACAAGCATTTTACCTCTGGTGTCCGATTAATGGTGGTGGTAGCTGTCTAGGTCAAGTGGAGAGACTGCCACCACAAGCACCTTTCCAATATTAGTGCTCCATGTATGGCAGGCACTCCACACATCTGTCCACTGTCTCTCCTGTTACAAATGAGGCTTGCACACATGCTTTATTCCTCTCCCCCATTTAATTTTGGTACTGGGGATTGAACTCAGAGGCACTTTACTATTGAGCTATATCCCTAGCTCTTTTTAAAATTTTTGTTTTGTTTTGAGACAATCTTGCCAATTTGCTTAGGGCCTTGCTAAGTTGTAGAGGTTGGCCCCAAACTGGTGATCTTCCTGCCTCAGACTCCTGCACCCAGCTCCCCAGCCCTTTTTACAGCTCCTTGATCCCCTTGATCCCCTTGATACCTTATACCTGATACTCTGCCCTTCATCAAAACCAGCTTCTGAAGTTACCCATTAATCCTGGCTGTATATTAGTTCCTTTCCCACATACCATTTTACTATCTGTGTTTGTCTACTGTTGTACCTGCCAAATAGAAGACTAGGGGCTCAGAAGGCCCCAGTTGGGTCACTGCTGAGCCCTCTGCACCCAGCAGAGACAATGGACAGGTGGGACAAGGATGTCTCCTCTTACCTCTTCGTGAAACTAGTTGCCATTCAGACATTCAACATTTATTTAGTACCAACTATGTGCCAGGCACTGTTGCACACATTTGGGATCCAGCAGTGAATTAAAAAACAACAACATGGATGTGAGGGACTCCCTTGGAATTTTGCTTTGGCTTGGCATTCCTCAGCCCCATCTCCCTCCCTTTATTCAGATTTCAATCAGATTAGTGGTACCAACATTGAGCAATGACCAGACTTTAATTATGGGTAAGGAAATGATTTGTGAAATTTCAGAATAAAACTTTTCCTCTTAGATAATAATAATAAAGACAAAAAATCCACTCTGACCTCTGGGGACTTACATTCTGCTAGGTCGCAACCCAGAATAGCATAAGTAAATTGTTGGAAGTGGATTGGGGCTGGAAATGTGGCTCAGTGGTAGACCGGATTCCCTAGCATGTGCAAGGCCCTGGGGTCCTCCCCAGCACTGCGGATGGGGGAAAACGTTGGTGCTTTAGAAAGGTGAAGAACAGAGCCAGGTCTGGTGATATGGAGTTATGGGGATAAAGGATTTTTAAATAGGTACTTAAGGAAGTCATCCTGTGGAAGGTGACTTTGATTGAGGGATTTGGAAGAAGCGAGTGAATGAGGCATTCTGATATATGGGGCAAGGGCATTCCAGGCAAATGGAACTAACCAGTGCAAAGTCCTGGATTGTTCTTGCCTTATTCAGAAACTGAAGGAAATACGGCTGGAGTGAAAGAGAGGAAAAAGGGTAGGAGACGTCTATCCAGCGGTGGTGATTTGTCTTTGTCAATATTTCCACCCCCATCATGGCCCAGGAAGTCCTTACTAACATGAACTTTAATGAAAATCCTAACTGGTATGATCAAGGCTGCCGTTAAGGGAAGCTCAGAAGAGGCAGGGAGCCTGCTTTTGAACTGGGATGCAGTGTAAGGAAGTCCCAGAAGGCCCGCCCAAAGGCTGCCGCCCCTTGAGTTGGACTTAGGGATAGTGTAGTTTTTCCACGCAGAGAGAAGTGAAGGATTAGGTATGCCTAGCAGCGCCTGGTACACAACAGAGAACAGTAAACAGAAATAAAGCTACGGAGGGGAACTGCGGACAAGACGGAGTTGAGGTGGCTGGAAAAAGCAATTCAGAGTGCATGCGCTCCCGGGAGACAGGAGGAGGCCCCGCCCCACCCAAAGTTCCAAGCTTGCGCAGTAGTGGAGCCCGCCCATTTAAAGGTCCACCTTTCTTCTCAGCCTAGGCTCCACCCCAAGAGGTCGGAGGAGATAGGAAGGGTTAAGGGCGGGATGGTCCCCGATTGAATGTTCTTTGGACCAGTCACCTTGCGGAATATTCAGCCTGTAGTTAGGAGTACAGAACAAAAAAGAGCTTCCCCCCACCCCGGTGAAAACCAATGAGAATCGGGCAGAGGAGAAGGGGCGATTAGGAGGAAAGGAGAAGTCACGCCTCTTCAGTTCAGCCACGCCCTTCATTCTTGCTCTGCCTCACCACAGGGAACAAATCCGATTGGCTTGGAGACAACCTCAAAGGGCGGGGCTGCACACGTTCACAGTGGGAATGAGCAGTGGGGGGAGGCAGCAGGGCGGGGCTAGGCTGTCCTATCTAAGATGGTAAAAGCCAATGATTATCCAGGCCATCTCTTTTAGAAAAGTCATCTTCTCTTGAACCTTTAAAATTCCTGCCTCCCGGGGCATCTCAAGGGACTAGAACAGATTGTCTCATCTTTTTTCCTCCTTGCAAAAGTCCCGTTTGCCACCATGGGAATGTACCAAGTGAGACCGAATAGGGGTAGAGAGTGGTGACCAGCAGCCTGGCCACTGGCTGCTGTTCACCTCGGCGTTAACAAACCTCGGCAAGATCGAAACTGAGTACTAAACCTCCACATTTACCCCTGGCGCCGTTCCAGGGCCGGCGCCACATTCCCCTGTGGGCGCGCAATGGCCGTGCCCCCTCCCGCTGCGGACGCGTTTTTTGGTACAAGCAGTCAGAGGTGAGTCCCCTCCTTCCCACTTCACCCTTTCCAGCGCGTGCGTGCGCATGCGTGGAGCGCAGCGCGCGCGGCGGTTGGGCCGTTGGCTGTTCGGCCCTGGGATCCGCCGCGTCTCCGCGAGCAGTCGGCTCTGAGCCTCGAGCCGCAGTGAGCACTCGGATTCCAGCGGGCGCCAACGAGCCCGGGGGCATCGCCCACAGCGGCCAAGCTCATGGCCGGCTGAGCGGGACGCCGCCTCCGCCTCAGCCACCGCCGCCGCCGCCGCCTCCTCCTCCTCAGCCGGCGGCGGCCCGGGCCCAGCAGCCATGGCCGAAGACTACTGGGACGGGCGCCTGCGGCGAACTGGAGGAGAAGGAGGTCGCGCGGCCTCATCCTGGGCCGCCGCCCCAGGCGCCACCGCGCCGGCCCCGCGGCTCTGAGGTTGCTCGCGCGCCCCCGCCGGTGAGCGCGTCTCCAAGACCTGGGGTGGGGGCTGCTCCTTCTATAGAACCAACCCCGACACCGGGCGGCGCCCCGGGGTCTGGACTGCCAGACTGGCAGGTGCCCCCTTCCTCTAGCGAATTTCCCAGAATGCATCAGGGTGGGGGGTCATTTGTGGCCTCCCTGACCTTGGCCCCGCCCTGGGCCCGTCCTGGGTGCTGGGGATGGGAAGTGCTGTGGGTGCTAAGGGGGAGCAGGGTGACTAAAGGACCAGAGGATGTGGAAATGAGTGACAGAGTAGCTAAAGACTCAAGGTTTGGTAATGGGGGCCTGAGCTGTGCAGGGGTCGGAGCATGTAAGGTTTGAGGCCCAGTGTGTGTTAATGGAAGGGGATTGCAGGTCCCTGAGGGATCTGGGGTCTGTTTAGGGGGTAGGGTCCCGGGACAACTCTAAGGACTTGCTAGTGGAGGTTTGGGCTGCAGAGGCCCAGTATACGTTAATAGGTGACAGGGTGGTGGAGGTAACAGAAAGTGTGGCGATAAGATCAGGGCTAAGAGGCCTAGTGTGTGGTGATAAGGGTCAAGTTGGTATTAATTTTGTGTATTTGTTAATGGTGGGGCTATAGAGTGTGAGGGTCCAAGGTGTGCTCATGGAGGGACATATAATTGGAGCCCAATGTGTGCTAAAGAGGGTCATGGCCTTAAGGGTGTATGCATGTAGTAATAAAGATCTGGATAGTGTGAGGTCTGGTGTATGCCAAGGGTGTGTAATGGGGACAGGATGGTAGAAGATCTGGGCTTGTGTTAATGGGTATCAGAATTGCATATATGTGTGAAGGATGATGATGATGAGGGAAGTGTCTTAGTATGTAAGAGCTCAGCACACTAAGGGTCAAGGTGAGGTGTGAGTCCACAAAGGGAATGTGAGACTCCAGAAAGTGCAGGGTAATACTGTATATAAAGTTCTAGTGACTGACTGCTAATGTGGGTTTAAAGTCATAGAGACATGTAAATGTGTACCATCTGGGGGAGAGTCAGCCATATGAAATCTGGAATATAAGGAGTGTCAGAACATTGTAAAGACAATGTGTGTTGGTGTGGCACTGGAATATATTGAGGTTCAAGGGGAACAGTGGTAGAGCTGTGGAGGTCATCTAGTGTATAATAGGGGGAAGCAGGGCTATGAAGAGGGCGTAAGTGTGAACCAACAAGGGTTAAAACTGTGGAGGGATTGAAGCAAAGAGAAACAGAGGTCAGGAATATGTGATGGTGTAGGTGTGCCAAAGTGGATTAGAGCCATGGAGAACTGAAGTGTGTGCTAATGGGGGTCAGGGCTGAATGGAGAGCTGTGTACACTTAATGACGGTCAGACCATTACAGAACAGTGTGTTGTGTATCCCTGGGGAATAGGGCTGAGTAAGGGTTCAGGGTGTGCTAATGGGGAGGCAGGACTTGTAAGGCTATGTGTGTGCTAATAGGGGTCAGGGTGGAATGAAGGTCCAGTTTGTGCTGATGGAAGGGATAGGGTAGTAGAACGACTTGACAAGATGTATGTTAACGATGGTCATAGGTGTGAAGGGGCCTGAGTGTGGGCAAAACCAGTCAGGGATCTTCAAGGTTTACTTTGTGCTATTGAGATCTAGAGCAGTGTGAAGGTTCAGTGAGTGTTAATTCAGGTCAGCTGTAGAGTGTCCCAAGTGCATGTTAGTGTGGGCCAGAATTCTGGGGGGGGACCATACATTGATAGAGGATCGGTACTGTGAAGTGAAGGAGCTAACAGGCAACTGGGGCAGGGAGGGGCCTATGAATGTGGTGCCAAGAATTACTTAGAGGGGCTGAGCATATGCCAACGGTGTTTAGTGCAATAAGTTAGGGCTTTGAATGCTGCAGTGGAGTTAGAGAAATCATGGATGCTAATGGGAGTTAAGATGTAGTGAGACCTTCTTGAGGGTATGTGCCCATGACGGTCAGAATGAGGAGTTATATGACCATGGGAGTAATAGAGTGTAATAATAACTGTCCCCAGTGGATTGTGTGTTATGAGGTAGCAAATATCCTTCAGTATGTGAATAGTCGGAGGATAGGTGTGTGTCCTTGGGGGTCATAAAGGACATATGCCCTTTTAAAAATAGTTGTAGATGGACACAGAATCTGTATTTTATTTATTTTTATGTGGTGCTGAGGATCGAACCCAGTGCCTCACATGCTACAACTGAGCTACAACCCTAGCCCCCTGGGCATATGCCCTTTTTGGGGTAGAGTTATATGTCCAGTTTCTTGCCCCCTTCTTCACTTATTTCAAAATCTATAGGCCCACAAAACTGAAATGATAATAGTCTTGCTGCATATAAATGTTGAAGTGTCTGTTCACAGGGGCCTGCTTAGCTTCTCTAAACTCACCACTGGGAGTATTGCATGATACACAGATTTCCTACCACATCTTCCTAAAGTTTTCAAGAAATGGAACGCCATAACGTATCTAGCCCTTGAGGGTTCCAGAAGTCATGACTACTCTTGTCTCCCTCTCTGTCTTCCATTCAGCCCTACTTAGAGTTTCTCCAACCCCTCCCCCATTCCCTGTCACCACATTCAAAGCAATGGGTATCCATGCCATATGGGGACACAAGGTAGTCTTTGGGAGCTGGCCATGATTTACCTTCCTTAGCCATAGGTCCAGTGTTCAGCCTCACAGGTCAGGATTTTGTTGTCGATATCCTGGGTTCTCTGTGGATGGACCTCATCCTCTATCTGGGTCTTTCTGTTAGGCTAGACCCTCTTCCCTTCTTGAGGGCAGTGAGTTTAGCCAGACAGAAGCAGGGGTGGGAGCTGCTGAGTTAAGCACTTGATTTCAAGGTAACAGATGACCCATTTCTCTCAAATGCAGCCACAGCCTCATCCTCGACCTCCTATCTAGCTCTACTTCCCTTGGGCCCAGGGCCATCTTAGTCCCTGCTGTTAGTCCAGATGGTTCCTGGGCCAGGTCTTTCCCCCTCTTCACTGGCCCAGAGCCCAGGAGGAAGCAGAAGAAGGCCAGCTTAAACCTTTTGATGGCCCCATTCTCTCTAGCAGCCCATCTAGGTCATATTCCTGGACCAGCATCTCTGGGCCACCTTTTTTTGGGTTGTTCATGAGTAGCAGGGACTCAACCACCTCAGCAGAGGTTGGTCCTATGTGATCATTTGTTTCTGTCATATGTATGCTTTCTGTGTCAGTAACTATTTCAGGTCCTCAGGATATATGTGAGACCAAAACAGACAGAAATCTATCCTGTTGGTGCTACTATCTAGTTGTGGTGAGGAGATAGACAGTAAAGAGCAAAGAGACCAATAAATAGATGGTGTCATTTCTAAGGAGATAATAAGTGCTGGGTGATCTACTTCAGGATGGTTGAGATTTTTAAATAGGGTTATTCATAGAGGTCTCATGAAGAAGGCGACATTTGAGCAATGAAATGAAGTGGGTGGGGAGTGAGCTATTTTACATTCTGCATGAAGGGTGTCCTAGGTATCAGGAACAACCAGTGCAAAGGCCCTGAGGTAGGACTGCTGAGTGTAGTTGTACGATGACAACCGGGAATGGTCAAGGGGGAGGTGAGGCCAGAGAGGTAACAGGGGCAAATGAGATAAGGGCCACATTGAGGACTGGGGCGTTAATTTGGGGGGTGATAAAGAAAATGTACGTTGTCTAGTAGAGGGAAAAAAGTGACTTGGCTTGTGAAAATCTGAGATGGACACTGTGGGTCCCAACTGGATTGAACCTTTCCAGCAGCTCTGAGGACAACTAGGGTATACTGAGATGGCCCCTCCCAACACCACACAGTGGTTGGGTCTGGACAGGAACTCCGCACCCCCTATCTGGGTAGAGCAGTGGGGTAGTCCACTAGTCACCATGACAATGGTTGCTGGGGGAGGCCTGAGAGTCCTTGTAGCCACAGGGAGCATTCTGCCTTGGCAGTTGGGGGCGATGTGGGGCTGGTGCCAGCAGAACATGCCATTCTATGGGCGCGCCCGGGGCTGTGTCACTGGTCCCTCAGTTCTGGGCGAGCCCCTTGTCCCACCTGTGGCTGGGTCCATCACTACCGCTGCACCTGAGATTGCCTGCTGTAGAGCCCTCTGCTCCCACAGTGAGGTTGCCACCGTGGAGACCAACAATCTACTGGGTGGGCCCTTGCCCTCAGCCAGCCACCTAATTCTGAGTACCCAGGTGGGCTACTTAGGAGTGTTTATATCAGTACTCCCAATAGGTTGTCATAGGTTTTAGTGTGCCCATGGTAGTCAAGCAAATGCTAATGTGGGACCCATTTCTATTCATGTCCCCTGCTCAGGTCGCCATGGATCGGATGAAGAAGATCAAACGGCAGCTGTCAATGACACTCCGAGGGGGCAGAGGCATAGATAAGACCAATGGTGCCCCTGAGCAGATAGGTCTGGATGAGAGTGGTGGTGGTGGTGGCAGCGACCTTGGAGAGGCTCCAACACGTGCTGCCCCTGGGGAACCTCGCTCTGGACGGGGCCCACTTAGCTCTGCACCAGGTTAGTCCACTGACTACTACTTCTCCTTGCTCCCAGTCCCCAGGTGCTGTCTCCCAGCCAAATTCCTCTTAGACTTGTGTTATTTTCATTTTCCTTTCTTTTTCTCCCTTTCCCTACAATTCTTTCTTAACATACTGTCTGTCTTTCCATTGGTGCTCCTTTCCTTGGCTTTGTGTCCATGCTCCACGGGAAAGGGTACCTTGCCTATTAGAGTTGCCCCAAGACTCCCTCTGCCCTTCTGCACTCTGTGATATGATAGCCCTAAGGCCTCTTGGCACTCTGCCAGCCCCGGGGCCTGCCTTCCTAGGGCCTTTGGTTACCTCTGCTGCCACGGGCCTTCTGGCCCTGGGCCAGCCGCAGTCTCCGCTCATCCCTGGAATGAGGTGCTCCACTAGGTGACTACTTTTGCCTGTCATCCCCCCACACACCCTTTCAACCTCTTCTAGGCCCACCTGGGCTTCCCTGGGCTCCACTACCTTGTCCCTGAGGGACTCAAGGCTGTTTCCTGGGGCCATGTGCATACATGGGAATGATGAGGGAATGTGTTGTGTGTGTGAGGGGGGTGTTCTTGACCCCACCTGGCCTGCCTTCCCCCATCCCTACCACCAGAGATTGTGCACGAGGACTTGAAGATGGGGTCAGATGGGGAGAGTGACCAGGCTTCAGCCACATCCTCGGATGAGGTGCAGTCTCCAGTGAGAGTGCGCATGCGCAACCATCCCCCACGCAAGATCTCCACTGAGGTGCTTAACCCCCGTCTTGGTGATGGAGGAGCTGGAAAAGGGGTTGGGTCTGGGGAAGTAGAACTCATGGTCCTGTTTTTCCCTTGTCTTGCCTGCTAGGACATCAACAAGCGCCTGTCACTCCCAGCCGACATCCGGCTGCCCGAGGGCTACCTTGAGAAGCTGACCCTCAATAGCCCCATCTTTGACAAGCCCCTCAGCCGCCGCCTCCGCCGCGTCAGCCTGGTGAGCACCTTCTCTTCCTGCTCTCTCCTCCTCTTGCTCCTCTCCTAATGCCATCCCTTGGGCCTGCTTCAACCTGCCTCCTTCATCCCACAGTCTGAGATCGGCTTTGGGAAACTGGAGACCTACATCAAGTTGGACAAGCTGGGTGAGGTGAGAGACGGCCAAGAGAACTATGGTGGGGATGGAGGTCAGTAGAAACTCCCTGCAGCCTCATAGCACCTCTCGTCACACTTCCTTACACCCCAGGGTACCTATGCCACCGTCTACAAAGGCAAAAGCAAGCTCACAGACAACCTTGTGGCACTAAAGGAAATCAGACTGGAACATGAAGAGGGGGCACCTTGCACCGCCATCCGGGAAGGTACAGACCCCATCTCATATGGGGGTTATTCCCCATGGCACACAAACATTCCATGGTGAGGATAAAAACTAGAGGTTCTGGGAAACCTTTCTCAATGCTCTGGACTTCCTGAGAATGCCCATCACCCACATATCCAGGTATTAGAGTAACCAGGAATCTGTAAATGAACCAGGGAAGGTGAATGAATTGCAAACCATGGTGCCTGCTTTGGTTCTGAGAGTACCCCTTAAAGTGTTCAGAATAGCACCTGGAATGGATTTGCGTTGTATAGAAAGTAAGCATGAAGACTGGGGATGTGGCTCAAGCAGTAGCGTGCTTGCCTGGCATGCGCGGGGTGCTGGGTTCGATCCTCAGCACCACATACAAATAAAATAAAGATGTTGTGTCCACTGAAAACTAAAAAATAAATATTAAAAAATTCTCCCTCCCCCCCCCTAAAAAAAAAAGAAAGTAAGAAAGTAAGCATGAAAACTCAGTTTCACACTGTGCCACAGGCCTGTATACTGAGGATTGGAGCAACTCCCCTTCCCAGAAACCAAAATCAGACTGTAAAAACCTAGTATCTTATGAACCTGGTGCAGCAATCCAAGGTTCTTGTTTCGTACATGTCTCTGCGCTTTATTTTCCACATTTGGAACATGGAGGCACCTTCCTGGCATAGGGTGGGTTAGAGCCAGTTGCTGTGAGATGTTACCTCATGGGGAAAGAAAGAAATGCGGGGCTTATCCCTATCTGGTCCATGTCCTCACCTTTGTCCTGAGAATGGGACTCTGACTCTTGCTCCATCTCATTCCCATGCTTCCTGCAGTGTCCCTGCTCAAGGACCTCAAGCATGCCAACATTGTTACACTACATGACATTATCCACACGGAGAAGTCCCTCACCCTTGTCTTTGAGTACCTGGTAAGGTTGGGTGGCAGTGGGTCCTGGAGGGAGGTGGGGAGATGGCCAAGAGCTTCTGGATGTGATGCTGTTCCTGTATTGCCTCTTTTCTCCTCAGGACAAGGACCTGAAGCAGTACCTGGATGACTGTGGGAATGTCATCAACATGCACAACGTGAAAGTGGGTGTGGGGCAAGAAGCAGGGACAGGAGGGGGATTCCACCCACTCACTCCACTGCACCCCCAAAATCTTCCAGAAGTGGCCATTCCCATTTGACTTTTTTTGCTGGGAATGCTTGACATTGGGTGCCTGTCCTCTTTTGTTTAACAAAGCTCTGGGCTCAATGTGTTTGGGAGGGAGCAGTTCCTGCCTGCTGGGGGTTGGGCTGGTGGATATCCTTTGACCTCTGCCTGTCATTCCTGGGTTCCCAGCTGTTCCTGTTCCAGCTGCTCCGTGGCCTGGCCTACTGCCACCGGCAGAAGGTGCTACACCGAGACCTCAAGCCCCAGAACCTGCTCATCAACGAGAGGGGAGAACTCAAGCTGGCTGACTTTGGTACCACCAGCCTCCCCCTTCTTCCTCTCTTTCCCGCAGCCTTATTCTCCCACCACTCCCCTTCCCCATGGCCACTTAGTCTCATTTCCCATCAGCCTTTCTAAACTTTGCCTAGGACACCCTCTACCCACTGCCCGTGATCTCCTTATTCCAGCTGCCCCTTCTCTTTGCTGCCCAGGCCTGGCCCGTGCCAAGTCAATCCCAACGAAGACATACTCAAATGAAGTGGTGACACTGTGGTACCGGCCCCCTGACATCCTTCTCGGTTCCACGGACTACTCCACCCAGATTGACATGTGGTGAGGAGAGGTGGAAGTATAGCAGGGCCAGGTGGTGAAGGGGGTGGCTATTGCAGCCACGCCACCCAGCCAACTGCCTCCCTGTTCACTGTGCCCTCCCTGCCCAGGGGTGTGGGCTGTATCTTCTATGAGATGGCCACAGGCCGGCCCCTCTTCCCGGGCTCCACGGTGGAGGAGCAGCTGCACTTCATCTTCCGCATCTTGGGTGAGGAATGCATAGGCCCTAGGAGCTATGGGCACATGAAGGGAGGATATGAGATGTTTGGAATCAAACAACTCCTCCCTGTTAGGAACCCCAACTGAGGAGACATGGCCAGGCATCCTGTCTAATGAGGAGTTCAAGACATACAACTACCCCAAGTACCGAGCTGAGGCCCTTTTGAGCCACGCACCCCGGTGAGGCTGGTGGGTGGGGTGGGCATTAGGGACCAGAGTGTCCAAACTCAATGTAAAACAGATTCCCTTGTCCTTGTGGTAGACTTGATAGCGATGGGGCTGACCTCCTCACCAAGCTGCTACAGGTGAGACCATTTTCCTGAACCAGTCTTAGGGGTGGGGAGGTTCCAGATATGGGGACACAATGACCCCCAGGGGCTCTGAGGCTGGCAGGAAGGAGAGACCTTCTCATTGAAAATACTAATGCACCTACTTCCCCCCAACTCAGTTTGAGGGTCGCAATCGGATCTCCGCAGAGGATGCCATGAAACATCCATTCTTTCTCAGCCTGGGAGAGCGGATCCACAAACTTCCTGACAGTAAGTAGAGTTGGAGAATGGATGAACTGGGGCAGGGATTGTGGGGAACAAGACTCCTTGGGACAGCTGAGCTGGTTGTGAGGGTTCTAGCTGTGCCATCTCTAAAGAGACATCTTTGTTCATACAGTATAATGGGTTGTATTTACTAAAATATTTTTTTGGTTTTCAGTTCCTTTACCTTTCACAAAAATTTTCAAACATACAGTACATAAAAGACATTTCCTGGGCTGGGGATGTGGCTCAAGCGGTAGCGCGCTCGCCTGGCATGCGTGCGGCCCGGGTTCGATCCTCAGCACCACATACAAACAAAGATGTTGTGCCTGCCGAAAACTAAAATAAATAAATAAATAAATAAATAAATATGAAAAAAAAAGACATTTCCTTATATATGTGCTAAAAAATGCACAAAGCTTAACTGTACAATGCAGTTAATTTTCACATACTAAGCACACCCATGTAGCCAACACACAAGTCAAGAAATGAAGATAGAAGCTTCCCTTGAGCTCCCTCACATCATCTTGGTTATTCCAGGCCCATTGTTGTTTTTGTTTGTTTGTGGTATTGGGGTTGAAACCGTGGGCAATTTGCCACTGAGTTTCATCCTCAGCCCTTTTTAAAATTTTGAGACAGAGTCTCATCAAGTTGCCCAGGCTGACCTTGAACTTGCCATCTTCCTGCTTCAGCCTCCCAAGTAAGAGTAGCTGAGGTAATCAGCAGGACCATTTTTAATGCCACTTTTTAAAAATAAGAAAATTCATTTAACCCAATAAATGCTTGTTAACCTTTGCTGAGCATGGTAGCGCACCCAACTACTTGGGAGACCGAGGCAAGAAGATGGCAAAATGTTATAAACAATAATAAAAATAAAAAGGGCTGGAGATGTAGCTCAGTAGAGTATTCTTGGTTTCAATCCCCAATACTGCCAAAAAACAAAAACAGAAACAAAAAATATAATATGATGAGTTCACACAAGTACTATAACAATTCATCAACTCAGCTAATGTGGTTTTCTCTACTTCCCTCTGATTATTTTGAATCAAATCCAATCCCATAGATATATATTCATCCTTAAATAATTTGGGCATATTTATCTATGAACAATTTTTTTAGAAAATGTTATCTTACCTAAAACAATTGGCCCACTGGGTTAAATCATATATAAAAAATGCAGGACGTTATGGCACACACCTGTAATCCCAGTGGTTACCGAGGCTGAGATAGGAGGATCACAAGTTCAAGGACAGCCTCAGTAAAATAAAAATAAAAAGGTCTGTGAATGTAGCTCAGTGGTAAAGGGTCCCTGAGCTCAATCCCCATTATCAAAATAATGGTTTAAATCAGATTCTAAAATACCATCCATGACCTGGACTTAACAGGTAGTCATTGCAATACCATTATCACTCTTGAAAATAACTTCTTTGTAACATGCAATAATCCACATCCCATATTCTATAGTTGTAGCTGGTTTGTGTGTGGAATTATTTGATGAATGAAAGGCCTCTTGAAAAATAGGCAACTTAGAGCTAGGGTTGTAGCTCAGTGGTTGACCACATGCATGAGGCACTGGATTCTATTCTCAGCACCATACATACATACATACATACATACATAAAATATTGTGTCCATCTACAACTAAAATATTTTTTTAAAAATGGGCAACTTGGTCTAATTCCTTCAGTGGGACCATACAGGGGCTGGTCTTGGATGGCCCCATGGGTTTTCCCTTACATAGGTGTCTCTTCCACCCACAGCTACTTCCATATTTGCACTAAAGGAGATCCAGCTACAAAAGGAGGCCAATCTTCGGTCCTCATCAATGCCTGACTCAGGTAGGTGTGGCACCTCCCTTGTCCCTGCCCCTGCCCCACCCACCTACCTGCTTGCCCACCAACAGCCATCTGCTCTGCTTTCCCCTGCAGGCAGGCCAGCTTTCCGTGTGGTGGACACCGAGTTCTAAGCCAAGTTCTAAGCCACAGACCGAGGTCCCAGCAGGCAGCGGCTGGAGGGATGCCACACCCCTCACAGGGCAGACCCCAACTGTATCCTCCCTGCTTGCTGCCTGCCTACCTGCCTGAGCCACACTCACCTGCCCACTTGTCCCCTGCCACCTGCCCAAACACCCAACCATTGGCCTGTCAACCCACCCATTGGCCTGTCTGCTGGGTGCTAACAAAGCTCTCATCACTCCTTTGCTTGGTCTGTCTGTCTGTCTCTCTTTCTCTGTCTCGGTAGTTGCCGGCGGACAGCATGGCCGTGCCAGCCTCCCACACTGAGGCCAGGCCTACCCCTCCTCATCATATCCTCTCCCAGGACCACTACCCCATGGCCAGCCAGGGGTCTGGAGCTAGCCCAGGCTGGGGCTCTTGACTCAGACAAGAAGGTGGCGATGCCTTGGGTCTGAGGCATTCTCTACCTGCTTTCCTGCCTGCCCCATCTGCCTCATGTTGTGTGGGCCTTTTGTTTGTTTGTTTGTTTGTTTCATTCATTGTTTATTTTTTAATTATTTTAAATGAGGTTTTCATTTTTTTAAATGCAATATCTCTGTATACAGACTGGCTGGGCCCCACCCCCTGTGTGAGGCCCTCCCACAGTATTTTGTGCAATGAAGCCCCACTCCCAGCCTTTCAGAGAGGCAGGGACACAGCCCCTATTTGGAACCCTGACCATCACCAGACCCTGGGATCGGCTATGGGAAAGCATGCCTCGGCCACTCGCCTTCCTCCCTTGCCTGCCATTCCCAGCTGCAGGGGGATCTGTAAATTGCTGGAGACTCTGGGAGATGGACAAGTTGTGGGGGGAGATCCCACTCTTTCCCTCCTACAGTCCTGTAGCCGGACCTCCTTCCTTCTCAGGGTCTCCCCAGCCCAGCCCAGCCCTCCTGCCCTGTCTCACTCGGTGCTGTTGAGTAGGGGCCCTGCCAGGAAGGAACTGACCAACTTAGCCAGGAGCCATAGTGTGTATACATGCATAAGCAGGGACAGAGGGACACATGGGGGGTTTGTGCCCAGTTGTTGCTCCCTAACCCCTGGGAGGGTGAGACAGGGCAGGGACAGTCTCCAGGGTCATCCCTGGATGGGTGGTTACCTCCCCTTCCTCTACCCTAAGCCCTTGGGGCCCTTAAACGGGGTGGGAGGGCAAGGGTGGGAGCCTTCCTAATGGGATTTGGGGGGTTGGGTTCCCGAATGCACCATAATCGCTGTATGAAATATTAAAAAGTTTAAAGTGAAAAGCCTGATTGCAAATCCCTGTAAAGGGGTGGGGGCTCAAGCTGGGGTGATTTCTAGAAACTTGGAGAATTCATACCTGGTCCCCATCATCTAGGAGAGCATTGGGAGTAGGCCAGGGACATGGTGTGATTATGAACAAGACCTGATAGATTGTACATATAATGGTGAACATCCAATTGAAGCAGGAAGGGCAGGCTGAAGAGTGTTGATGGGCTGAGAATCAAGCAGAGAGGAGTTAGATATATCCAGCAATAAGAGCCTGACAGGGTAGAGGCAGGGGCTGTAGAGAAGCTGTTTGAAGGACACTGAAAGCCCCAGGGTGTAGGGATGAAGCAAAGAGGCCCAGTGTGACCACCACATATCTGACCAGGACTGATTGGAGAAGAAATGAGATAAGGTTAGATTTTGGACTTCTGAGTAGGTAGAGGAAGAATCCTTTAATACATGGATTAAGTTCAGGAGTGGGATCACAGAGCTGGAAGTTTTGGATTACTGGTGTCCAAGAAGTAGTGGAAACCATGGGCATGGGTGAGGCGATCTTGGGAAGAGGTCCCAGACTGGGACTTACCCTCATGTGGGGATAGTTGAGGTTTTAATTTACTCAAAGTTTTTTCTGTCCTGTAAATTCTAGCTCACATCTCCTGAATCAAGAATAGACAACAGGCTGAAGTGGTGAGGTGCGCAGGGCAGGCAAATGCTGCAAGTAATTGTAAGCCTAATTAAGTGGCTTTTTCTTGAAACCCAGTGGTGGTAACCTGAAGACCTCCAATCACACCACTGTGTCCTTGTATGCATTTTGATGGTATTTCAACTTGTAGTTTCATGGTGCCATAGTGGCTGCCATGTCCCCAGAGATGGGAATGCAAGCCTGGAAAACAGGACACCCTGTTTTCTTGTAACAGGGCTGGAAATTTCACAAGCTCCTCAGCAGATTTCCTGTGCTATCCATCTCTTAGGTAGAATCAGGAGATATGGGCCACCTATGGCAGCAAGAGAGGCTGGAAAAATGAGGACTTTGCAAAGGGGGATGAGATTGCCAGGCCAGACATAAGAGAACTGGAATTCACCCAATTGCTCTAGGAATCCGTAGGGTTATTGGTATGAGCAGAATCTGGTTTCGGAAAGGTGAAGAAACCAAGACTAGGGCTGGGGATGTAGCTCAGTGATAGCATGTACCAGGCCATGGGTTCAACTCCCAGTATCTCAAAAAAAACAAAAGTCTAGGGCTGGGAAGGAAGGCTTCTTGGATTTACCTGGTTGCCCAGGTAAATGGGAAGGGACAGTTTGCAGAGGGGCAAATTAAGTGAATTTGACAAGATTCAGTTGGGCTTGAAGAGCAGTTCTTTGTCATGTGTCAGATCCAACTCAAATGCCACTTTCTTTGGGGGCCCCAAGTGAAAGAAGTGCTTTTTCCCCTACAGGGCTTACACAACCCTCAGGGTATTGTGACCCCTTATCTGTGGCATGTCTGGTTTGGGGGCTGGAATTATGTATGAGTTACAGAGATTAATCTCTGTCTCACAGAGGTTAACTGAAAATGAAATAAATTATGAGGTTGTGTGTGGGTGAGGAGGATTGAAATTGTGCAAGGAGACAGACATGTATGGATATGGGCCTAGGAATGTGTAAAAGCAAGGTTTTTGCCTGTGGTAAATCGGTAATAGTAGCGAAGGAAGTCACTGAAACAGTCCTGGAATCTTGATGAGCCTGTCTTAGGGGAGTTTGGGACAGCCAGGTGGGGACCGCCAACAGGTAGATAAACATGCAGAGAGCCCCACAGAGAAAAAATTCAATCACCAACCAGTAGAGCTGGGAGCCCTAACAGAAAAAAATAGTAGCATAAACTAGCATAGTGTTTTTCAACCAGGGACAACGCCCACAGGGGGCATTTAATAATATCTGGAGGGAGAAATTTGGCTGTCCTGAAGGGTGCCACTGTTATCTAGTAGTAGTGCCAGGGATGTAACTGAACAGCTTGCAAAGTTCCCCACAATGCAGAAATGACAGTAGTGCAGAGGCTGAGAAAGAAACCTGGCCTAGCACAATGCTTCTCAAACTTCAGCCTCAGGATCCCTTTTTTATATTCTTAAAAATATTGAGGACACCTAAAGACCTTTTGTTTAGATCAGGTAGTCTCTGGATATTTCCACAATACACACATGAGAGGAGTGAAAAAGTATTTTGAAAATAGACTCTGAAACCCCTGAGAGGATTTCCTGGGCAGAAAGCCCTGGAGCACAGTTTGACAATCTCGGGCCTGGTGTTTAAGGTCACACTTCTAGAACCAGATTTCCTGAGTTGGAACTACAACTCCAGCACTTATTAGCTGGGGGACAATGTGTTAACATTTCTGGTCCTCAGTTACCCCCACTGTTGCCCATGGAAGGCAAATAATAGTACCTGCTGCCTGAGGCTACTATTTAAATCCAACAACACACTTAAACTGGGCAGACTACTAGTTATTATTGCTGTGACTCCAACACACAACAGGAGCCTGGGGCTGACTTGCCTTCATCACTTTTGTCTACCGAATAAATCTAGTTCAGGAAGGGAAAAAAAAATGGCCTGCAGGCCAAGGTGGTTATCTGGAGGAGACCTCTTTTGCATTGGGTCTTGATGGATGAGAAGGGTTGTAGAATGAAAGGAGGGCACTCTGGTCAGGCTAACAAAAGTGCCACTCCCAGGATAGGGGTCCGCAGTACTTAGCAGAGAATCAGCAGAAAAGCTTTGGGGCCTTTGTGATTCCCTGAACACTCCTTAATATGTCCTTGCCCACCATGGGAAACTCAGCCTCCGCCTTCCAGGCAACCTTTTACCCTAACTCAACATGGCGTTAGAATCCCAGAGAGCACTATTGTCTTTCTTAGTTACCAACTGGGGGTTTTACCCTGTGTATGGGTTGCAGAGATCACAGCCCACCGCCCGATGCCCGCCTAGCCCTTCGACGCGTCCGAGCGAGGGGCCCATTTCCAAGATGGCAGGAGCCCCCTGACTGTTTGGGGGGCTCTGCTTCCGTTTCCGGGATCAGAATCCGGAAGTGGCAGTTGAGGGTCCTCTTCCTATCTTCAGTTGCGTTGGCAGTTAGAAGAGGACGGACGGCGATGGCGGCGGTCGCAGCGGACCCGGCCGCAGCTGCCGTCGCGGAGGCCGCTGAAGACAGAGAAATACAGAATGAGGCGATCCCTGGTCTGGACGACCAGTGGCGCCAAATCGAGAATGGCGAGAGTGGGCGAGAACGTCCACTGCGGGCTGGCGAAAGCTGGTGAGGCTGGGTTATAGCGAAGCTTTGGGTGAGGGGATGGCGGGGACCTTGGCAACCGCGGGGGACTTGGAAGCCGATGTCTGTGGAAGAACTGCTGCGGGGAGGGGCCGGTAGGACAGCGGGCGAGAGGGGCGGGGAAGTGCTTGTGAATGAAACGCAACGTCTGGGAAAGAGGCGGGGCCTGTGTAGTGCAGTCTGACGCCTGAGAACAAAATGGGGTTTGTTGTAGTGGAGGCGGGGTCTGAGAGGAAACAGTCATGGGGGTTGGGGCCTGCGTTGTGGAACCTGGAGCCTGGGAAGGAGGCGGGCTTTGTAACGTAAGGCGGGGGCGTGGCCTGCATTACGTAATGCAGCGTCTGCCGCTAGGAGCAGCCTCTTATTGCTCCCAGGCGCCTGCGACTGAAGCGAGCCTTGTGACGTAAGCTGAAGAGCAGAATCGGAGCAAATAGTTGTGGGCCGGGGGAGGGAGCGAGCGCTTACGTGGAAGGAGCCCGGCGCCTGGGAACGAGGCTAGTCTTGTGAGGTGGGCTGAGGGGCGTGGTCTGAGGCCAAGGAAAGACGGTGGAGGGGAGGTTACTAAGGCAGAAAATGGCGCCTGTGAATGGGCAAAGTTTGTGACGTGATGGGGTTTTTCTGGCGGAGGCCTTCCTAGGACGGGAGAAAGTGCAGGTGATTAGCATTGGAGCGGCCTTCGATGTTAAGTTTTTCTATTTTAGTATTATTTTGCTTTTATAATCAGGAGAAAAACGTCATTTTTAAAAACGGACCTTACCCTGATAAATCGACTTTTTCTACTGATTTTTTTTTCCCCTCATCACTGCTGCTTAAAGTTTACTGCTTCTGGGTTTATTTTATTTCTCGCCAAGTTGCATCTCTCTTTTAAATTGTTAAACGCATAAGATCCTATAAAGATTATAGTATAAAATGTTTACACAAGTCAGATTGACGTACATCCTTTTAAAATAAACTGTGTACTCTTCAAAAATATCAAAGTCCTGAAAGATAAAGGCTGAAGAACTGTCCCAGGTTAAAGGAATTAATTCATTTTAGCAAGTCATGATAACTAAATACAACGGATCCTAGAACAGGAAAAATAAATAATTTTAAAAATCGGGTTTTCTCATTTTTTTCTTTCAATGGACCATTCCATGGAGAAATCGGTAACATTTGATTAAAGTTGATAGATTAGATATTAATGTTTCTGTTTCCATTATTGTGATAATTATATTGTGGTTATGAAAGAATATCCGTGTTTTTAGGAAATGCATACTGAAAATTTTAGGGATAAGGAACCATCGTGTAAGCACATTATTCTCAAATGGTTGAAATAATAGCATATGTAAAAATGCATGTACGGGGGGGGGGGGGTGGGAACTGGGGAGATGTTGGTCACAGGAGAAATTTCAAGCTAGACAAGGGGAACACATTTGGGAGGTCTGTTGTACAAATATGGTGATTATAGTTCATAGATATCTATTGTATACATGAAAGTCGCTCAGAATATTTATTAGATGTAATGGATATGTTAATTAGCTTGATTTAGTTATTCCACGGTGTATACATATATTAAAATACCATGCTATACACTAAAAGTACACACAATTTTGTCAATTTTAAAATAAATAAAAATACCAGAAATGATATATAGAAACAACAATTGAGCCAAAAGGTAAAATG